AGCAGAGCACTGGCTGCTGTTACTGTAAGTGGGTGTTAGCATCGAGGCTAATGAAGCCCATAGGGATTGAATGGAGCGGTCTGTGGACATGCTAATGCTCAGTGAGTGCTGCACTGCGGTCAGAGAGCTCTCATCAATCTTGAGGTCGTTGCCTTGGATCAGGATCCCATCAGGTCTCCTGCAGGTCAGAGGTCAGAGCATCTCAGCCTCTGGATGTGAGGAGGATCTTATATTGCACCTGTATTTCATTTATTTCTCAATTCAGTATTCACTGATTTTTGCTCCAGTCATTTCTAAATCTGATGAACACCAAAACGTTATTTTAAAAAAAACCCATGTTAAACCCATGTTCTCTGGAGCTGAAATAGAACAAAAAATTGACAGGGGCAAGAAATGCTCAGAAAGTGCTGGATATAACGTGACTATCAAAACTAAATTAGTCACTGAGAGGGGAATAAAGGGGCTCTGTCCGACACGCTAATCTCAAAGAAGAGACATGAAGCCATGACTGCAATTAAGGCTATTTATTTTCACCCATTCAATAAAAATGACATGTGGCAATGATAAACTTATGCACTATGATAGGAAATAGCTTTGCAGCAGAAAAAAGCTTTGTGGTCAACAGAAAATATGGCACCCTACCTCTGCCGCTCTCTGTCTCTGTAACAAGCAAACAAAAGTTCACAGGTAGGTGCAGGTGGTACCTCTTAAGCAATCACTCAGCCACAGTCACACACCCACAGACAAACAGCTCCGCCCACACACACACACACACATCCAAACACACCCACTACCCCTACTGAACAGTGAGAACACATCCCTGCCTCTACACTGGAGTTCAGAGGGTTACAGTCTGTTATTGAGTCAAAAGCATAAAACAGATCCAGAATTCACAGAATGTTTTTTGTTCAGAAATGTTTCTGACCAAAGGCTGTGCATGTCAAAGTCATACTAACCAATTCACAAGTTAAGTATGGTCAAGACCTTATATTATTAAATTATAGAGAGAAACAATAAATCCAATAATTTCCTGCAAGCAGCACTTAGTGTATTGCTATTTTATCCTCTTTTGCATCACTTTCTGAGTGTGTGTGAAGATTTCCCATGAGCCTCATCCTACACAGCCACATGTTTTAGTGTACTGATGATCAGGATGTGATGTCCTGGTCTGGTTGAGGGCCCTCAGTTTCAGTAAGAGGAAATCTTCGCATAAAATGATACGCAAACAGCAGCAGCACCTCTGGGATGAACTGGAACTTTAGTGGCTAATGTAACATCTGTCAGCTAACACTGACACATTTACAGAGAAGCTGATTAATGTGATCTGTCCCTGAATAAACACAAAGAAGTTAACTGTAACCCAACAGTCTGATCTCACTAATGCACTTGTGGCTGAAACCTTAAGGGCTGCGATTCATTTCATCTAAGCCTGAAGGATTCTGAAGGGTAAAGCTCTCAAGATTTAAAATCCTTTTGTTTGATGTTTAGTCAGAATGAATCTTCCTGAGGCAGAAAACAAAAAAAAAAGCAGAAACATCCAGTCATATCTGAGTCTAACTTTTGTAGCACAGATTTGCTGCTTCAGCATGGTGTGTGAGTGTGTGTGTGTTTCGTACCGCACTTGATTTGAGCGATGTCTCCCACCAAGTTCTCGGCCACTGGGATCTCGATGACCCGACCTTTGCAGATGACTGTGAATTTTTGTTCCTGCTCCATACGAGTCTGCAGCCCGCGCAACTGTTTCTCCTTGGACCAACTGATGAAGGCCTTCACCAGGACCACGATGACGACAGAGAACAAGATGGCGGCGCCCTCGATCCAGCCAGAGTGGGCCTCGCCCTCATCCTCCACGCCACCAGCAACCTGGCCACATACTGGAAATAAATGAGGACATGTGGAACTAAATAACAAAACTAACTGACTGATCACTACAAATGACCTAAAACAGGTGAGTTAAAAGCCACGATACAACTCAGAGAAAAGTTCGAGTACTGTTTGTTTACACAAAGAAAGCAGCTCCACTCTTTAGATTAACAAAAAGCTCAGTTCTCCATCCTTCAAGGTGGACGTACTGTCAGAAAGCTCAGAGAGGTGGTGAGTGGAGATACGACACAGTCCAGCTGGCCGGGAGTTGCTCTGGGGACACTGTGGTTATGTGGTGCACACTTTAACCAGCCGGCTACTCGTTTTAAAGTTAAACTCCAAAATACAGAATATCTGCACAAATACAGACTCTCGTTTCAGTGAGGGAGGAGGCACAGATGTCTTCTATAGTAATTCTAGTGCAGTCATTGTGGCGTCTGCAAAAACCAATCAGCACTCACTGACTCCTCCCGGGGCAGCTTACAAACACTTTCTGTAAATTCTGTAAATGTAAATTCCACGTGTTGAGTCTTCGGTGCTGTCAGGAATTCCATTCTGAAGAAGAAACCCTGAAGTCTGACTTTTTTTTCCCCCCCACAAAATCTAAAAATGTCAGAATCAATCAGCTAAAAAATAAATAATAATGAAATGTATTTGTAGGATGATCTACAGTGTGAGTGAACTGACTTGTACTGTTGCCCCCTGGTGGTTGGTAGAAGAACAGGCCCAGTGAGATGATGGCAGCGATTTGCAGGATGACCAGCCTGACGTCCTGCAGGGCCTCCCACACCAGCTGCAGGAACATCTTGGCCTTCTTTGGGGGAATGTAGTTTTTTCCAAACGCTGCGAGACGTTTCTTCACATCAACGGGGTCACCAGACAGACCTGCAGACACAAACATGACACGTTAATAATAAAGCCCAACAAAGAGTAAAAAGCATTTTTAAAAAGAAAACTCTTCT